TAATTGACAGTAAACTCCTGTCAGGTATTTTCTGTATTGCGTAATTGCTTGCACTGATGACTAAAATGACAACACTGCTAAAATCAAGGGCTGCAGGCAGGCAGTGTTGGTGATCGAGGGTATACAGAAATTGTTCTAAAGCTTTTGTGTACTTCCCATAGTTTGAAGAATGGGGTTTGAAGATGAAATTATTCAAAATGCTTAGTGACATGTAATAGAAAATAACATGTCAGCAAAGAAAGGATGAGAAAAGTTTGGGCAGTTGCTACACACAGTAGTTTCTGCTATGTTAATGAACCCGTTTTCATTTTCTTTAATGTCCTCAATTTTCAGATTCTTTTCATAAAAGGGTAGAAAAAGTTGTATGTCTTACTCAGAGACTGAATGCAAGGGATCACAGAGATTAAACCTGAGATTTGTGCTGGATTAAATCATATGATAGAGAAACTTTTAGAGTTCTCAGAGATAGCTACCCAGAATCTGGTGTGGGAATCTCTGTGAACTCCTGCTATCCAGTGAGCATTATTTTGTCTTATTGTACATCACCTCAGGCACTTAAATCTTGCTGTCCCCATAGCAAGCAAAAAGGGTTCTCAATAATTTTATGAATGGATTTAGCAGCTTTTACGGAAAGCTTCACATTTAGTTAAATGAAGAAAATAAAGTGCAGAGGGGAGTATCAGCTTGGGAGAACAGACTGAAAGACTCACCCTTACCCTTTTACTGCTTTGGCTTTTATATTTTGAGATTATGAGGAAGATACACACAAGAAGGTTTTCAGTTCTGTTTTATAATTTAGAATATTTTATTTGGAGATTATCTATATTTTGCAATAGTTGAAACAATTTTAGAAATGACTGAATTGTACTTAATAGGCTTAATGCAGTCATGTAAGCACAATGATGAAGTTTTGTATTTCAGACAGTGAAATTAATCAAGGGAAAGAGGCAGGAAAAAAAGATTTCTTAAGTCTTAGCACTGAGAACTCAGCTCGAGTCAAGGGAGAGCTCTGATTTTGAGTGTTAGATACATTCCCCATGAAAAATCAGACTCTGTGAAGGTGTCTCAAAGCATACTCAAATGCTGCTCTCCAAAATATTCGCTAGGTATCCTGATCCTGATGTAACAAGGAATGAAGGATGAATATACTGGAGCTGCGACCTAAATTTCATTGAATTTCTGGGGGACCTGGGAACTCCTAGTAGGCCAAATGAAATCCTAGTGTAGGATTAGGACCCATAATAATTTTTATATTGTGGGGTAATTATATGGCTATTACAGCCTCATAACTTGGGATCCAGTAGAAGTACGTAATTAGGTACCCCAGTGGGTTGGCTTACTCCATTTCAGAAATTCAAATTGTTAGCCTTTATCATTTGATATTAGGAATGTATTGCCAACTTTAATTTTTGTTTAAAATAGATGAATGCAAACAGCAATTGCAGAAAATTAAGAGATGATCCTTGAATCTAAAGCCTTCCAAATTAAGGAGATTTACAACAATTCATATTAGACTTGCTTAGTCACATTTTTGTAAAGACGGTGCTTTAAATACTAGAAACTGAATTGTGTTAGGGCTCAAGAAATTTGTAAGATTATGCAATGGTTTTGCCACTGGATTTTTTTTAATGTAGGGAAGGTTACAGTATTCCAAGAGCTTTCTTACTCTCATTAATGACAAAACTAATTTATTTTGATTGAAGCAGGGACAGGCTGCAGTTTGCTGGATTGATCTTGCATTTGTTCAAATGTGCGTCATACTTGAGCTGTTGTGACAATAAATACGTACAAGTACTTCCAAGATTGGGTCCACTCAATCTGAAGTGCTTCTCCATTCAGGGAGTATTTTTATGTGTTGCCACTGATAACCTGGAACTCAGAAAATGTCCAAGCCAGTACACAGCAGAGTCCTCCTAGGCTCTGACCTCTGGCACCTCTGTGCTTCACCATCTTCCCTTTGGCTGGATGGTGCTTGTGATCTTTGAGCAGCGGTTCAGCTTTCCAGTGCAAACACAGATTGAAGAATTATTCCTCCTCGCTTTTCATCTTTGAAAGCTTCACTGAGTAATTACCTCCCTCAAACACTAGAGTATACTTTTCCTGTCATTTTAAGATAGCTTTTAAAAATGAAGATAGATGAAGTGGACCTACCACCTGTACTAGGAAACACAGCCATGATAATCCTCCTTCCCATAGATCTGTTACTGATAATTCCTATTACAATATTGTTTGATGAGAAATAGTAAAAAAAAAATTAAAAAATCTTCTTTTAAATTATTGTAATAATAAAAATCTATTTTTGTAAAGATGTTTGTTCTTATTTATTTTTCAAACATGATGTTTTCCAGAAGCAAAGGCCTTTATATGCTATCCAAGATCTGCCTGCAAAGTTAGCAGAATAGTTAGTTGCCTCAGATAAAATGTTGCATTTCTAGGATGCATCCCAGCTTATTGATCACTACATTAGAACTTTTCAAGCACTATCAAAAATAATGAGTTTAAAAATATGTCAAGGTTCCAGATGTCAGTACAGCTCTGTTCTTTTCCAGCTGCTCCTGAGATTGTGACCACTATGAACTGTAGTAGGATAAAAGTCTGTAAATCACAGAGCCTTGTGTTAGACCTTTCTTTTTAGATGCAGGTATCACCAGCATCCCGTAGCCCAGCCAGAAGGAGCACTCATGGAACCAGAGTGACCTATCATTTCACATTACTGAGGGTATCAGAAGTTTGGCATCTATGAAAAAAAACATCAACTGCCAATAAGTGGAAGTAAAATACTACTACACCAATTTCTAAAACATTTAAGTCAGGTAGCTATTTTTATAGTAAATCACAGAGCACTTTGGTCTGGGGACAGAAAAATCACAGGACTCTTCTCCAGTTATTTTACTAAATAAGAGGCATGCTTCTCAAAATTCAGACGGGCATTCCTTCTTCCTGCCCTACACTATGTTCTTCAACCTGACACACGACTTCAGTCAAACAAGCCTGTAGAACAGACTTCTTTCCTGAAAATACAGTTGTTAATTTCATCCTAACTATAACATCAAAGCAGAAAGCAACTGTTCCCTTCAATCTTCTCTATTTTTCAGCAATGCCTATCTAACATACTCAAGCTAAACACTTAATTTAAAAGTCCTGGTCTGCGCTATAAATCCTTTCTGATATAATACTTCAAAGAGTCACAATCCTAACTGACATTTTTATACCGATGGAAGAAGACTTTGTATTTCATTTAGGAAGCTGGGAAAGTTACAGTGGAAGAAAGTCTTTTGCTGATGCAAACTGTACCTGTATTGCACATTTTGTTAATGCAGTGCTATCAACAAGTGCGGCCAGACTTGGCCTTATCAGAGGGAAAAGTGTGGCGCGCACAAAAAGCACACAGCATCACTTATTTCATTTTGAATGGAGGGACCCTACAGTGAATCCATGCCAGAGTTATAGATGCAAAGACACATCAGGGCACACTTGAATCAGGTCTCAGGAGTATTCTAAATGGCATCAGCTACCACAGTTTAAAAACAAGGATCATTCTTTTTCTGCCCGTGTTCACCCCATTGGTGGTACCTAAAGTAATCGGCGCAGTTGAGATGTAAGCTCCTGCACTCTCACAAACAAAGCTTTATGGATGTTCAGAGGTAAGACAGAGGCAGCTAGCACCTTGAACACTCCTCTGGGAGCAGGTTTTACTACTGGAATGAACACTTCACATAGGAGCACTTGGCCATTTAGAGAGTCTATCTTCACACTATTTCTCCGTGTAGGCAACAGTCTTCTGAAAAACACTTAGGAAGAAATTATGCCTTCTGTTTGCTAATGGAAACTGCATCACTGTCTTTTCCTACTGTGCTACCATTAAAACCCTCTGTGCTGGAAAGGAAGAAGGATGGGCTGATCAAAAAGCAGTAAAAGTTCTGGATTCCTCCTCCTCATGCTGTTATTTTTACACAGCCCTGGAAGCTGCAGGCACTACAAAGATAAAACCTGTCTTTTTTTTCCCTCCACAGGAAATAATAGCTGAAAAAATATGCAAATTCTCCAGGCAGCTGAGGCAATCCTGAGTAAACGAAACAATTCCTTTGGCTGTTTAAGGAACTTTAGCCTAAATCTTAATTGTGGAGAAAGGAAATGAGGTATGGGAAATGGCTGCCATGTATCAAGCTTTACACACACTTAAAATGCAGGATGGCAAAGAAAAGCAGCAGCTTTCACCTACCTATGCCAGTCTGTGTGGTGGGTTGACCATGGACAGATGTCAGGTGCCCACCCCAGCTGCTCTGTCATGCACTCCCCTCCTCAGCTGGGTGGGGGGCACAGAAAATAAAAGATGGAAGAGTCAAAGGTCAAGATAAGTGGAGTGAGAAATCACTCACCAATTACCATCATGGGCAAGACTCAGCTTTGGGAAGATTAATGTGACTTATTACCCATCAAATCAGAGTATGATAAGAGAAAATAATACTGGCCATGCCAACCCAATAAAGTCCAAGATGTTTTCATGTTTAGAGATGCTCCTCTCATCACAGAAGGAATGGAGGGAAATTGCCACATTCTGGTCACAGAGAGAAAGACTCGAGGTCATTTTCCACTGCCCACCTCGAGCTAATTCTGGGGTGAAGAGAGGGAGCACAAATTGAGAAGAACAGCTCAGGGGTAAGAATGGAGAGCTGGAGAACCTGATGCTCCTCAAATACACGATGGTACTCTACATTTTAAGAAAACTTGAAGACAGTTTTGACTCTCTTCTGTTCTTTTTAGTTGAAGTTTCTCACTGTATTAAACCAAAATAGGCCAATTTAGCAAACTGCCAAACCAAAAATCTCAATTTAAATACACTGTTGTTGAACAGTGAAATTTTGAAATTAAAAGAAAATATTTTTTCCCCTAACAAGCTTTATAATTTAAGGTAATAAACTCTGCACAATATAGACAGCTTTGAACATCTAAAGCATTTTAAGTATTGGGATATGGGTCAAAAGAAAAGTGGCAGGGACTTCCCCGATTAATAATCTTTTTATTATTAACATTTAAGAACGATGGTTTCAGCAAGTTCAATTTATTAAGTATCTACACAAATGTGGGGGTTTTAATATTAAAAAATACCCAGTTTTTACAATTTCAAGTTTCAGTGCTTTGAGCTACAAAACCAGGAGCACGTAATAATGAATTCCTCTAATGTGTTCAATTCACAGACTTGCAAAGGCAGAAGGAATATTACAATTATTAAAGTCTGACCTTCTGTATAGCATAGTGTTTGGGCTTCCCTGATTTAACCTCTTTCACTCCAGCACCTGGGGGATTTTAAGAAAAACACTGACGGCACTGTCTCACAGAAACGCAGCCAACAAACATCAGCAAGCAGCCAGACTACTTCTTGAGCTTCTTCTGAGCAGCTTTCTTCTTGACCATTTGTAGCCTTTTCATGGCGTTGAGCTGGGACTCCTGCGAGGTCGGGCCCTTCAGGGATGCCGGCTGGTTGCCGGTGTCAGCCGCGGCTTTGCCGGTGCCACCCGCGCTGTTCCCCGCGGAGCCGCCGCTGCCGTTGCCGCCGCTGGCCTGGCTGCTGCTGCCGGGGGCGGCGCTGCCGGGGCTGGGCAGCCCGGCCTTGCTCACGTTGTCGCTGCTCACCGAGCGGCTCAGCGTCGTCTTCCCCAGGGTCAGCGGCGGGGGAGGCTTCAGCTGAACGGGGTTTGCACTGTTGTTGGCAGAAGCTATTTTGGCCCCCAATCCTGTTTTTGAAGTTGCCAGCCCTGACAAACCCACGGGTTTCTGGTTATTTGAAGAAGCTGCAGGTTTCCCGCTGGCACTCTGTGCTGTCGATCCCAGTTTGGCAGTTGATGGGTTGGCAGAGGAGGTTTTGGCTGCAAAAGCTGCCCATCCTGTAAGGCCACTCGTTGCTGAAGAGGAAACGCTTGTACTGGCAGAGTTCCCCGAAACTGCCGCTGAGGTCTAAAATAAATAAGCATTCTTATTATAGCAGCATCTATTTGTGTAACACATCACAGCAGGAGCACACTGAGCCTCTGTTTCAGTTCTTTTCCCATGAACACCCAGTGGACAATATTTCATCACTGGTCACCAGTTGAAAAGTACTAAGAAGAACAGGAAACGATGCCAGGTGCAGCCAACTTCTAATCTCCCAGGCACACAGAACATAATATCTTTTCTCCCCTTTCTTCTGTACACTTAGCAGACTACCACACAGCCCTGTGATCCCTCCATAAACAACAGAAGCCCAAATTTGTGAATTATATTTAAGGTGGTGGCTTGCCTTCTATTTTATTTGTTTACTGTTGTTACCAGGTGTCACTTTTTAACAAGCTGACAGATGCTCAGACAAAAATCAGACACTGAGCAATTAAGTATTACATTTATTACAGTTTTACTGTCAAAGTAGAAGTATCTAAACTGTTTAATTTCTTCCTGGTTCTTAGCAGCTTGTACCACAGATAGAATAATAAAAAAAAAAAAAGAGTACTACCCCCATAGTCTCTTCCCATTAAGGCACTGTGAAAGACAAACTTTCTCCAAACATGGGCTGCTTTGCCTGTGAAGCACTGTGCTGCTATCCACACTGAGTTCCCACACCTTAAATCCTAAAATCCCCAGGCTTCAGATGAGGATGATATGTTGATTTAAATCAAGAGTTAGACCAAATGGCAGAGTCAAAACAAAAAGTATACCTCTCTATTCAAGTAATACTCCTTTTATAGAATACCCAGAAAGCTTCTAAACAGTAAAGTTGATGGAAGAAATCAGGCCCTAGGTCTTACAACCTTTTTAGGCACATAAATAACTCTGCTGAGGTGAAGAAAGTAATTCACAAGCATAAGTGTTAGAGCAATACTCATCCTAGTGTTCATGATGGCTTGCATCCAGGCAGAGCAACGGCAAACGTAACTTTGAGCAAATGAATAATTCCTTTGATTTTGAGCTAAAGCTGTGTTTTCCTAAGAAAGGGTCATGCTTTTTTAGACTACTCTGTTATCTATCACACTGCTTCTGGTTTACCACCTTTGACCAATTTTTGACAATACTTTAACTTGGAAAAACAGAAACATGGGGCAACACAGAATCACAGAAGAGAATCACAGAAGGGTTTGGGCAGGAAGGGACCTTAAAGATCATCTTATTCCAACCCTCCTACCATGGGCAGGGATGCCACCCACTTGATCAGATTATATTTAAGAAGCTCCTAAATTAGATCTCAGAGTCAGCAACACTTTCCTTGCAATGGAATCACAGAACCATCTAGGCTAGAAAAGACCTTCAAGATCATCAAATCCAAGTGTAAACTCAGCACTGTCAAGGCCACTGTTGCCATGAGAAAAAGCCTTTCAAATGCCAAATTACACAGAAGTTACTTGACTAGAGAGAGCAAATAATGCATTTTATACAGCTCATAGACTCATAGAATGGTTCAAGTTGTGGAAAGGACTGTAAAGATCATCTAATTCCAACCCCCCTGGCACAGGCAGGGACATCTTCCATGAGACCAGGTTGCTCAGAGCCTCACCCAGCCTGGTCTTGAACACTTCCAGGGATGGAGCATCCACATGTGAAGTGAGATTTTTTTTCCCCGTTCTTTCAGCGTTCATGCAAACCCACTATGCTGTGGTACTACTTAGTCCACATGGTGTAGGAAACTATTTTCAATTACAGTTCTTATGTGGAAAGACTGGTCTAATGGTAAAAAAAACCTGTTATCTGTACAGTGAAACAAACTCTTCCTCTGGTAAATTTAAACTACATTACCTTGACTTCTGTTCTTTTGAATGCCAGAAAAGCTGGTGGGGTCTCAGGTTTTAACTTGATTTCTGGTTTCTTGACCAATGGATCCTTCAAAGCTGGTGCAACTGAAACCACTGCAGGAGCTGGTTTTTGAGGTGGTTTTTGTGTCTTCTGAGCCTGTGTAAGTGGTAGGAAAAAGCACCCTGAATTAGTTACAGACTACAAAAGATGGACTGTTTTGACTGTTAACAAAAAGGATGAACATTTTAAGACTGCAATCTAGCCTTTAAAATTTCAGCTTTAATGGTCCCTGAGAAATGAGGCAATAGGGCATGTGGAGATGTCCTGGGTATGGTACTGGGGACAGAGTCCAGCCAAAAAGCATCCTGAACAGAACTTGCTATTTCAGCATGGAAAGAGTGGCAGTGTTGACATTTGGAGAGCAGGAAAGCACTGGGCCTTTAGAGAAATAAGGCAAAGACAGGTGAACTTGCAAAAGACAAGGACATAGTCCAGCAGTACTAGGATGTAGGCTGCAAAAGCCTGCTAAGAAGTGGCAGGCAAAACGGCAGAATTCATGCCAAAACAAAAAAAAGGAAAGGTCATACTGAAGGCAACTGCTCAATGGCTAAATTGGCTACCCTGTGCACTGTGCAGGAACTGACCCCAAGCAAACACTCCTCTGAGTTCAAGGCTTGATGATCATCAGAATAATCATGTATTTCAGTCAATGTTAGTACATCCTAGGCCAGGATCTTACTTTGCCTTCTTTCCTTGTTTCTTAGTGGAGCCATTTCAACAGATAACACTTGCTAAGTTATTGCAGAATAGTTTCAAAACACATTTTCTGCTGTATTTTTCTTTATTCTGGGTGTGATTTTAAAACATCAGAACTGAAGTCACTAATGTTGTATGCACCCAAAGGTGCTGTCTTTTGCTTATTTCTCATAATGAGATGAGTAGGATTCTGGTAGGATACTGTTCAGTCATGCATATAAATCAAAATAAATGCAGGGTTTTTTTTTAACTGGAATGTGCTATCCTGAGTTTATCTGTGACCCTGAGAACATTCAACATGTCAGACTGAAATTTGCAGTCTTGTCCTACAAGAAAAGAACCATTCATATCCAAAGCTGAGAAGAAAACTTAAAATGCAGGGCTATTACTAAAAGCTGAGTATCAGCTGTTTTCTCCTTGCCAAGCAGGAAACAATCCTATTTCACTCTTCTTCACTCACCTTCTGATTTTTAAAAAGCTTTGTTTAAGAAGTGCATTACGGAAATACTCTTTGAGATGCCACATTAAAAACCACAGCTGCAGCAAGGGAAGCACTGCTGAGAAAAATGATTCTCCAATGTGCTTCCTAAAACTTGTCTAACCCAGGAAATATTTTCACACAGTAGAAATAGCCTGCTGTATTCAAATAGTGCTCACACGAGACAAAAAACTGACTCCTACCATTCTCTTCATCTGCCTGGTACAGCGGGCACAATACCAGACAAGTCGAGGATCATTCACTTCCTTGTCTGTCACCTGAGGTTTATGGCAATCCTGGTGGTAGAGATTATGGCACTCCTGACACTCCACTAGCTGATTCACAAAAGTAACTGTCATTTGCCTGCAGAGCAAATAGTTAAGAACAGATTATGGGAGAAAGCACTTAGAGGATTATCCAATTGTTGAAAATTTTGCAAGGCTTAAGATAAAAAATAAAAATATTTTTCCTTTCACATATATCTTCTACCTGTGGCAAATAGAATGTATTCCTTTTCTTCCTGTATCAGTTCTTCCTAACTAATATTTCAGAAAATTGGTATTTTTTAAAGGTAATTTCTTTCAAGAAATATGAAGACTTCCATTCCATTAAACATGTTTATACGACAGTCTTGATTTCCCTGTTCGATTTTTAGGTTAGAAATGTAAGTCTTGCTCGCTTTGGTTCACCTGGGCATTTTATGGATACATCACAGTATGCCAATTACAACTTCCTCATTATAACAGAATATGAGGGCCTAGTCTCCATTTGGGTAACTTTGCTGACAGCTGCAGAGCAATACAGTTCAAGAACAAATAATTTCGCAGTGACAAGCATGTAGGAGTACTTTCTGCTGCAGGATTTAAAAGCATCATCATCCAAGCTCTATGCTACTTTGAAGATGTTTTATTAGCCATGCCTCTGGTCCCGACCACATAAACAGACACGTGGAATTTGAGATAATACCAGAATCACGGAGAGATGGAATAGAAAGGATTAATTGTGCAGTCCTGCCTTGAAGCAAACATGCAAGCTGGTGATGAGGGCTTCATTTTGCGTGGGTCTTGCTGAAAGTAATCATGCTGTATAAATGACACATTAGTGACATATATATATATGGCTGGGAGTCTGCCTGTGAATTACCCAAATACCATTTTCCTAATGATTCCTTCTTTCAGATGACAAATCAAGCTATTTAATTGCTAAGCTGCTTTTGCTCATATCCCTGAGGAGCAGGTACCCAGGTAACCATGGAAACTCTATTTGTAGATACATGGGGAAAGGTAATCCCTTATTTTTTTATATAACAGAAAAACAAAGTCTGAAGGTATTGTCCATATAAGTACTGGAACATTTTCTAAGAAAGATTTCTCTTTTAAACAGGCTAGCTAAAAACAGAAGGGGAAACCTTTCTGAAGTTCTAGGGTCCATTATTTTACATTCAGGATACTCAAAAGATGTTTTGCTTGTTTTTTATTCCTAAACAAACTGGATCAGAGCAAATAGTCTCAAGGAAGGAGATTCACCCTATTTTAAAATTACAGAAACCAATGCTCGATTGATTGAAAACCCATAAACTCTTTTGCTCGGAAACAAGTTAAACCACTTACTTTTAAATTATAAGATAACTATGAAACAAACCTAATGATTTTTTACCTTCAAAAACCAACCAAACAAGTATTAATAGAAAACTAGGTTGTAATTTCCAAACCAGTCTTTTAAAAATATTTTTTTGGGGAGGAAAGCTTCGCTATCATCTACAAACTGCATGTATTATTTCCTCTTTGTACAACTGAGAAGCCAGTGAGGAGCCTCCATAACTGGTGAGTTGTCCTGTTTTTCCAAGGCCTACAGGTACTGGAGAGGATGAAGTTGTTTTTAAGCATACTCCTTATGCCTAACTTAGTGAAAAAGAACAACTAACTTGATATAAAAGAACAAGAAGGAAAACACCAAGGTATCAACATTAATTACTCCTAATCACTGAAAATATATTTGACACTTTGAAAATCTTGGAGAAACATTTCATGCCTCTGTTTTAGTTTTCACACGTATAAAAAGGATTAGTTAATATCCAAAAGCACTTTTTTGCATTTGTGAACCCAGAGCTGGGTTCTTGCTAGCTTGTCTTCTTAAGCAATATAAGTATAAACTCTTGTGCTATGAACTCCACCTGCTCTACAATTTGACATGTTTTCATTCACAACTGTTTGAATAATTGAGTCATTAAAAGATGTAATTTTAAAAACGTACAGGATGTTATTATTTTGGCTCACCCAAAGAGGGTGCACATTTTGAAAGAAAGCAATAAATAGAGGAATACTGTCTGACCATGAGCTGGATTCAGAACATTAAAGCACAAATCCTCTGAAAAACATCCAGTCCAGTGTGAGCTGGAGACAGACAACTATGTGACATCAGTTTCAGAAGATTCCATACAAAATGGAAACAATCCAGAGTGTTGGGGTCACTGTTGCCACTCCCTCTCTAATGAGTTCTTCCTTCCCGGCAGTGCTTCTCCCTCTGTCTGGCATCAGAGATATTTTGGTTAACCAGGGTAGATACATCTTTTGCAAGAACACTGGAGTTGGTGACCATAAAATGGTAGAAGCAAAGCCTTCAGCAGCCAGGTTAAACAGGGATTGTGGATCAGCTAATGGAAACATGTATCTGGCCCGTGCTTTTCAAAGTCTCGACTACAGTGGGCACAGGAGCTGAATTTTCTGTCTTCAGCTTCTTTACTTTGCAGGCACTTCTCATTATGTCTGCAAGTGTTTCTCTTTGCCAGGGAAGACACAGAATTAATCATCCACAGCAGGTCAAGACTGTCATAACAAAACTTCATTACCCCCTCCTGCTAAATAAGGTAATACCTTACTATTTTTAGTAGCATTTTAACATAGCACTGAATGGGCTATGATAGGGGCTACAAAAGGGGTGTTGCCTCTTTTAAGAGACAGCAAAAATGGCATTTGGGGGAAAAAAGGTAACATTCATGTATTTATATACTTCTTCCTTTGTCAATGTCTACAATAAGAAAGTAAGTATTTGAACTAACACTGAATATGAAATCCCATCAGTCCCCAACTGGTCACCAGCATAATCAGCTGTAACTACAGAAATTTATCCTCTGTGCACTGACAACACTTCTGTATCTTCACAACAGGAATGACCACAGAAATGATGAAAGAATTATAAGGCAGTGTTTCCCAACTGACTCAAGCTGAGCTAAATTGCATACTGCTGCCAAAAGGCCTGTCCCTCTTCTCTGTCCTGCCTCTACACTCCTGCATCCACACATGCGCCAGCATAAGCATTTACTCTTACTGAGCTGACTGAAATCCAAACCTACTGAAAAACCCATGTGGAGAGCTGATCCAGGGGCTGAGTCAGTTGATCACAAACTGTACTGGCAATATATCCCCCTAAATAGTCCAGGGAAGGAGGCACAACTGGAAGAGCCAAACTGTTCCTTTTGGCAGCAGTGGGAACCTAACAAGGATATAAATGATCTGTGAAACAAAATCCTGATGCGACTGATTTGATCCTAGGGTGCTTATTCAAAAGTATTTTATACATCTGTTAACACTAAATGTAATGCTAGTACCATGTTAATGAAGTCCAGTTTTAGAGCCCTTACTGGAACGTAAAAACAACCTGTCTTCACTGCAAGATACATATGCTGATAAAACATGGCTATGTATAAACTAATGTCAAATGATTAGGCAAAGAAGAGCAACACATACAGATCTCATATTAATACCACCTAAAAGTGCTTTCAGATGAGAAATGATTTTTAAAAAATGCTTATCACTAGCCATCAGTATTTTGTTTTCCAGTAATTGAAAACTGTGTTTGTCATGATGGGTTTTGCATCATATCTAGTTTTATTTTTCACTTATGCTTTCCTGCAGAAGAAAAGCTGGTTCACTCTCTAAAGGTTCCATTTTCAAGAAACCATTCTTATTCATGAAGGAGCCTTAAATGTATTATCAATTTTGGATACTAAGTGATTAAATGATTTCTGGAATAAAAACTATGAGAAGCATTAACTCAATGGTACACAATTTAAAAAAAGGTAACTACACCTAGCTGGAATGAAGCAACGTTGACTTACCTGCAAACAACACAGGCTAATCCCATTTCCATGGCAAAGTCATCAGCACTGGTTTCCTCAAAGCTAGATAAATCAGGCATGGATAAATCTTTGCTCGTCTGAACTGTAATAGGAGAAGAACGAGCCTCTTGTTTCTCTACTCTGGGCTTCTTTGGTGCATCAGCTCCTTCAGCAGGATCCCCTTTTGTCTATTAAACACACACAGAGAATATGAAATGCAACAAGCTAACTGATCATTATAATGAGTTAAAATGGAACAGTTAGATTAGTGGTATAAGAAGGTGTATTTTACACAGCATACACACTAATGTATTTTCTTTAATTACATATTTTCTTCAAAATATTTGTGAACTAGCAGCTCAAGTCTCCTTTTCGTACTTCACCTCAAAATCCGTGAGAAAGCTTCGGGAATATCACATTTCAACTTGCTACTTTTAAGTAATCTCTTATGAGATCATCTCTTAGGTTTTAAAACACAGAATGGTTTGGAAGGCACCCCTTAAGTCCAACCTCCCCATGTTGGGAGGGAATGGGCAGGGAAAATAATCACAGCATAATTTCAAGAAGACATTTATTAGACTGCCTAAATGGCAACATGACTGGCTAATGCAGCTCACAGGCTGCACCATGAGTTGAAAAGGGAAGCTTTTGTCTAAAACATCTTAAAGTTTATTAACCAAGTTATTTCACTAGAGAACAAAAACAACTTACTTTATCTGCAGATCTCTTTTCTGTTTCTTTTTTCACCTTTTCTGATGCAGTGGGCTTGCCATTATTGTTGCCAGAAGGCAAACTGGATGAAGCTTTAGGCTCTTGCTTAATGGGTTTGGTGACAGATACTTTTGGTTGCTCTACTTCCTGGAAACAGAAAAAAAATTGAAGCTAAATTCTGCAACTGAGTTCCTACCTAATTTGCAATTAGTAAGATAACAGGACAGGCAAACAATATACCATACAACACTGATCATCTACATATACACTTTAAAAAAAAAAACATTTCTTGAAATATTATCATATCACATCAACAAATTAGTGCGTAAATCGCAGAGATTTAATAAAATCTTCCCTTACCACTCACCTTTCTGAGGAGAAGGTGCTCCTTTTCCAAACACAGATCCTCTTTGGAACATTAATTAAAAAGGAGACATTTCTGCTCTTAAAATTCAAAGAGGTAATGAACACAAATTTTTAGATAGTTCTGAGGACAAAATTCAGTATAAGCTAAAAACATAAGCTGACAACCGATGTAACCAGACATCAGTACTTCACTCCTTCATGTAGAGAAATATTGACCTCCTCTTAATCTCAGTCCACATTCAACTATCAGATTAATACATTTATATCCCAACAGAAATCAATGGTTCTCATTAATGACACTTTAGTGCCAGCAAATGGAAAACCAGGAGAGCCTGCAAATGATGGGCATGAGTAAGGTACCCTCTCCCAGATGGTAAGATGGGAGCAATTCTGTACTGTATACTTGGACAGGTCCTAAGGCCTGAGCTTCAGCCCTCCAAAGTTCATTGACTTGGCTGTGGTTATCCTGTGCTCCCTCACTCTCTTCTTGGATTTCATGATCAACCACAAATTAGCCCTGCAGCCTGCAAATGCAAGGAAAGGAATTCTTGTACTTTTTTTCATTTCTGACCATTGCAGTCCTGCTGATATTGGAGACAGACTGAAAAGAAGAGAACGAAAAATTTCTTCCTCTGGCCTGAGCCTCAGTTTCACCTGAGGGCAGGTGACTGCCAGCCAAGCTGTTATTAGAATTGGCTTCCCAAACCTCTTTGCACTGTTATTCTGCTCCCTGCTTCCTCTTTAAATCACACATTGCTTCTTTGAGCTCTGACACCAAGGGCATCTGAGAGCTTTGAGACCCGTGCTAGGTTTCAGGGAGTTAACAAGACGAACAGAAAGAATTTAGACCACACAGTAAAGCATGATGTATGCTGAGCAGTACTAGCGCCTTTTAGTTATTTGGAACCATGTAGAAATGAAATATTGCAAATGTATCAGCATAGAGACCATCATTAGAACACAACAGGCTGACTTGCAGGCATCCTAGGGGAGAACAAGACCTCCTTAACCATATGGCAATACACAGCAGCATGAGGATGTCCCCTTTTGGCTATTTCCATACGCTCATCTCAGAGTCAAATATTCTCTCTAGCAGGTGTTCAGTGATTTTCAGTAGATGAAAAGTAACGTTTGTCATTGGACAGCAATGGTTTCAGCCAGCAAATCATTTCTGCTTTGAACCATTTGGTGTTTTTTTCATATGACTTCATCAACAGAATTTCATGGAAAGAGATACAGCTTTATTGGTAAATAGCTTATTTTGCTTCTTATTTATCTGTGGCAAAGCTAATCTATATTTTAAAGGCCTTTTAGCTCTGAAATGTAACTGCAGAAATACCTAAGTTTGGGTGCACCTTCCACAGCATGTCTGATAAAATGCTGAATACCTCTTTTAAGTCTTGGTACATCAACATGGTAGAGATTTTTTTTCCCATTAACTTCTATTAATTGAATGGATTATGTTGTAAGGAAAGGGGAATGATGAATATGAACATCCCATAATTACTTCATCTTTTTCGTCAACTTCTGATTCTCTTTTAACTTTTCAGCTGTAAAAGAGGAACCAGGAATAGCAGGAGCTATATTAAGGCACACAAAAAGGAGTCATGCTCCCTGACACCAGTACCTTCTGAGAGGGACGGTAACTTGAATCAGTTCCTCTGGCCAACGACTCGTCAAGAAGTGCTTTCAGCTTTTCAGCAGAGTCCTTACTCTTTGAGTGCAAAAAGCCCAGGGCTTTCAGAAAAATGGGATCCAGCTCCAAGTTCACTGTAGCAGCCATAGTTGTATCTTCAACAGGAGTTAAAAGAAAAGAAAAACAATGACAACTTTATTTACATGCAGCATAATTCAAACAGCATGTGACAAATAGAAGATTTCTTTTCTTTTTAAAATGAAATTATATTAAACCACAGCAAGGATTATATGTGAATTAATTATCATTAGAAGATGACTGTGAACTTCAGTGCTGCAGAACTTAGAATACACCTGGACATCTGAAATGCCAAATTCATTCTTTGGCATATATGATATTCAGAAATTAAACTAATCATACTTATGTAAATTAAAAAAAATCATATTCTTGGTATTTAATATATAAAAATATTGAAAAGTATGCAAAATAAATATTAACTTCAAGAAAAGAAATTAACACTCTTCTCCTTAACATGTTTTGCACATACAGTGATTTCGAACTCATTGATCATTTAAGAGCAACCAGGAAAAATCTTACTTGTAGAAAAATTAACTTTTGAGACTTCTGAAAAGAACAGCTCAAGATATACAGATAGTATATTTTTTATATATATAAAATAGCTGAAAAATACATTTTTAAATTTAGCTGAAGCCGTGAAAAATTTTAAAATTCAGATTGCGTGTTATCCACATACTCATGTGACAGTCTAAGTGTAATGTCAGATAATGACTATCCAGAGCTGCCAGATGCCACAGTGTCCATGGAAATGGAATAAACTGAGAAAGAGGCTACAAAGACTTTAAAAAGTTGTTTGCCTCATAGCAATACATTCCTGCACTCTGGAGCATTCTGTGTTAATTTCCTTAAAAAACTCTAAGGAATAGCATTTACACCAGAAATTGTTCCTACAAAGATAGATACCTAACTTAAATCAGTAAATGACAATTAATAATTTAAGAAATAACATGGGAACTTTCCTGAACTTTTCTAAAAATGTATGAGAAGTGTTATTTTTAATAATCCCTTTAAATCTCATTTTAAACACATCAGGATGTTTGTGGGTTTGGGTTTTTACCCAATAATCTAGAAGACATTCTTGAAAAGCCTTTCATCAGTTCTTTCATCAAAAGCACTGTATGGACAGCTTTTTCAGCTAAAGCTTCCAAGGTTTTGTCTGATGAATTCCTTTTGATATTCATGGCAGTGAACTTTTACGTCTCTGGCCAAAACACCAGCACTGGCAGGCTGCTCCCTCAATGCTTGCCTACAAGCCCCCAGGAACCTTTATCTCATGCTGAGCTTTCACGAGACACCAGAGAATCGCTTGACTGAGATCATCAAGGAGTTCAACCTACAGAACTTCATAGGGATTTTATCAATGGACCCAGCAGAGAGTTAAGAAACCTCTTCAATAGCCTCTTCTCTCTTCCTTAATCTTTGCTACTTGACAAATCATTTTCTGGTGGCCACAGAACTTCTGCCAGGAAGTGCTACACACCATCTACTCAGCTCTGTCAATGATCAAGCACAGACTGCAGTGCAAGCCCTGTCCCAGCAATTCAGTTTCTCTCTGATGACTACAGAAAGTGAATTCACAGAGCACAGAAAGCACATGCCCTCTTTTCTTTATGTATCTACCTCTGATAAATGTTCAGGCCGCTCTTGAGATCTGTGGATAGATTATGTTCCACATTCCTTTGTTCTGTGAACATGTCAGTACCCCATACTCTTAAACCAGGACTCTGCTAAAACCTCTGTTTAAAAATTGTAGAATCTAAACACTAATTTCAGAAATTTTGTAGAACTCCCTATTAAAAAAAAAAAACCTTTAAGTTCTTCTCTGAGGGAGAGAGGAATTCTACTAGGAATATACCTGTGTATGTGAAAAACAGGCAGCCTCAACAGTCATTCACAGCCATTCTCTAATATTTAGAGAACAAATGTAAAGCTAATTCAATTTTCATCTCTCTGAAGGTAACACTTCCCAGATTTGTTTCTAGCTCTAGCTTTTTATAGACATATATTGAAAGGAACTATTAAACCCCAAATTTCAAAAGGGTTCTCCATATTTATTCTTTTATTTGCTATGTAATTGCAGCAATTCTTTCTCTGTTCTTGAGGACAATTATAATGTCCTAGGCTACTACAGTTATGACTAACATATCATAAGAAATTTCTCACGCAAAGAGAGGAAACTGGTCTTAGTAAGCAGCTCAAGTATGCTCAGTTTAGGCATGTATTTTCAAATAAAAAAAATATCTATTAGTGAGTTAGAGAAGGGAAGTATATTCACTGGAATGATGAACACATCAATAACTGTCCTAAAAATAGCCTCATCTGAAAAAAGCAAATTGATAATTATGCTCTCCTTATGGGACCATAATAACACTGCTGCCAACCAGGCTACTAACAATGTCTGTTCTGGTCCAAAAGGTAAACGATTGCTTTTGGTAGTGGCCCTTTCCAGATGTTTGCAGATCAAACCATTTTTAAGCATCAAACAGTGGTTTGACACATACAAACCTAAGATCCAATTCCATTCATTCATGTGTTAATCCACAAACTGCTTCTCTGGCAGTCAAGTCAGCATACAGCAACATGACAGTCTTGAGACAAGGACAGCAGATTGTTTCAGTGATGATGCCATAGTCTATTCTGCAAGACAGACCTCCTTGACTTTCTTCTTGAAGCAGAATCTTTGTACAGGAACTAATTCAAATGCTGTTTGGAAAAGAGTGAGTGTGACACTGCCTTTTCTGTATTAGACTGATAATGCAGCTGTGAGATCAGAGGGCTGTGTTGAAACCCTTGAACCCTGAGCAGAACAGGTTTTGCACCAAGCAAGCACACCCTCTTGCAACCCAGCGTTCACCCATCAGCCTAACCCTAAAAGCACCTTTCTCAGCTTGGGTCTCTGTTACCTCCTAAGTTGGACTGTTCTAAGTGGTTTAAATCCATGGGGAAACATAGATGTTAATCAGCGAGTTGTTATTCTTAAAACATCCAAGAAGTTTTGGATTCTTTCATTTCTTGAATATAGTATTGTCTTCTGCCAAATACAATCAACTGTGCATTCTACAGAGTATGTGGTCTTCCAATTTAAGATTTGTAAGATTTATAGTGTGTAGGAGTCCTCTTCTTTCTTCATTTATTTGCCATCTACTATTTTGCATTCCAGCCTATGTATTATCTTATTCATCATACCTTGCAGCTAAACGAATCTACTTCCATTACATTTTAAGATATGGTCATCTTTTCAACCATCTGTTTCTGAGCTCCTATTCCTATTATTTTCTGATGCAGGTGTACTACTAAAGATGTTTTTCCAAAACAGTACACATCTTCTATTTATTATTTATTATGCAATGCTATTATAGAATTCTGCTATTATGTCATCCTTTTATAGACTCATCAATATTTTTACCTTTTACTGCCCCTGATAATTAAAAGGCCTTTCACTCACATACCCTTTTCAGTTATCTTCACAATCTGTAGCAGCTACCTTAAAACACAGTCACATGAATCAACAGCTTATAATTCCTTCCAACACACTCACTGCACGGTTTTTCACTTGCCACCATAAAATCAATTCACTTGTTCCTGTCCCTTTGGATCCTTTTATTCCTCAGAATTTACCCTTTTCCTGACTATATCTACTAACAGTGACAGAGGCAGATTTTTCTTATTTACCAATAATGCCTCTTCCAGGTCACTTTCAGATCTGATGAGTCTTAAGAAAGTAGATCAAGGAAAATCTTAACAGCAGGAAAAAATGAACTTCTATTTTCAGTTTTTGCTACAGTATCTTAATCAGCACTTGATTTATGACAGCATAATTTCTCAGTTACTTTCCACAAGGGACATTTCAAAACTCATGCACTTCAATAGTCTGGATAACTGTATTAATGAGAACAATTGTATTAATCAGTTCTAATTTCCTTGTCATCTTCTTCAAAGAATCTTTTAAGACACGAATAAGATCCCCTGCTATGGAGTTACTAGTAGTGGCATCCTTAATTTTACGTTCTATTCTACAACATATTTTATAATGTACTTTTAAATTAGTATTCCAATCAATATCACTGTAACCAGTTTATCCAATATTTTAAAAATTACACCAATGCCCTATATTTGCTGTTTTCTCCACAGAAACAGTGAATTATTTAAGAATAACAGAATCATTCCCTGTGGAAGGGACCTCACGTGGTCACCCTATACAACCTCCTGTTCAATGCAAAGTCAACACTGAATTCAGACCAGCTTGCTCAGGACTTTTCCAGTTGCATGCTAAAAATCTCGAAAAACAGGAAGGCAAAAATCTTTCTGGGCAAGCTGTCCCAATACCTCAGTCCTCATTTCCTTGTTTTGAATTGGAGGTTTTAACTTGTGCTGTCTCTCATTTTCCCATTGTGCATGTGAGTACAAAGACCGGCTCTATCTTTCCAATAATGTCCTCAGGTGAATTAAAGCTTCCATTATATCCCCCTAAACCCACAGCAGATGGTATCCAACACTCCCTCCATCTTCAGATCTAGCTGTTTAGTCACAGAAGGCAAGCCAAATGATCAGACATGATTTATCCTTGGTAGATCTGGCTCTTCCCAGTTTCTACCTGTTCCTTCTTATGCCACAAATGGCTTCCTCCATGATCCTTACACAGGAGGAAGGAATGAGGCTGACCAGTCTGTAGTTCTCTTGCTTGTCCTTCTTGCCCTTCATGAAGATAAGCATAAGGTTTGCCTTTCTCCAGTCTTTGGGATCTCCCCCGATGTCATGGCCTTTTAAAGATGACAGAAAGCAGCTTTGTGAAGACCTTGTCAGTTGTTGGCACCCTTTAATGTAGTATACCTGGGCCCATGGACTTATCAGGGAAACAATCCTGCTTCAATCCTCTTTCACAACTTGTAGTTCCTCCTCTCCTTACGCTCTGCCTTGTGGCAAAAGGCCTTGTGAGACCTTACAGGTCAAATCTGTGGCAAAGAAGACATCAACTATTTGACCTTTATCTGTGTCTGCTGTCACTAACATGTTTGTTCCATGCAGCACTGGTGACATATTATTCCTTGTGAATCTTTTACCTGATAAATGGCACAATGATCCTTGTGACTCTCTTTCAATTCAGGCCATTCTGTGATAATTGTACCTGCACAACTGAGATTTGCTAAGCCCTGATACCACTGAGCTTCAATATTCTGCAGAAAATGGACCTGAAGATGTTTCAACACGTCACTGCTCATTGGCTTATGCCACTGGTAAATGGAGTACACCTCCACTACTGCTTTCACCTTTGCCTTATTCAATGTCTACACTGAAACTTAGTAAGTGTACAAATTCCTGGGTATCATCCTCCTGGTAATTTCTCGAAGACAGAAGCAATCTTCTAGTTAAAAACTAATTTCAAACAGTTACGCCAAAGCCACAACGTGACCCTCTGCAACCTACTTGCCGCAAACTTCTCCCTGGGACTTCTTTTTAGGAATGAAGAACAGGCCTCCCAACTAAAAGTAACACTTTAGAATGCTCAAGAGAGTAAAATACCACCCTCCTACAGCCATTACTGCCCCGCACAGACTTCCTCAGGGCCGCGGCTGCGGGCGTGCCCGTGTGCCCAGGCCGGGCTGCTCCTTGGCACCATCGCATCCCACAGGGACAGCGCGGCCGCCGCTCCCTCCGGGCCCTGCCGGCACCGCAGGACACCCAAAGCTCACCCGGCTCCGAGGGAAAGGGCCGCCAAGTGTGCCTGAGGGCTCCCGTCTTCCTCCCTCCTGCCAAACACCTTGTTTCTCCCACCCAAACTTACCCTTACTGTCCTCTCCCAACCTCTTTTTTCTCGCCCCAAATCCGCTCTTC